AAAAAAAAGGGTATGTAATATCACAAAACGAGAGAACTACCAGCTTAGTAGAATGGGGCGGCCGGATTCACAAAGAAGGTCGAGTCGTTCAGCTGTCCGCCCAGCAGAATCGGGTCTCCACCGTACTTCACATGTCTCTCCTCGGGGCCGGGGCCAGCAAGCACCCCAAAACCACCACCCCCATTGTCGATCTCCGCAAACCCCTGCAGCAGGCTGCTGTCGCTCCAGCTCAAGAAATCCCATAAATATTGCCCGGCCGAGTCGTCGATGAACGGCGGGTCGAACGGATCCAAAAACCCGTTCTCCAGACTCACCAGGACCCCCGGCGGTAGCAGTCCCCCGCCGCCGGCCGCCGCCGCCGCCGCCGCCGCCCCGGGCATCCCCCCTCCTCCGTCGCAGAGGTTCGAACAGCTGCCGCTGTCGATGCTGCTGGCGGCACTGAGCAAGGCCGAGTTGCGCTTGCTGGCCTCGAACAGGCGCGACACCGCGTCCAACGTCGACTTCGCAGTGGGGCTCCACGACTGCAGCCGCGCCAGCACGAGCATGGTCGTCTCCACCTGCGCCTGGCAGGCCTCCACGGTCGCGCGGGGGTCGTCCACCGTGCCGTCGTTCAGGAACAGGCCCAGCAGCGGAACCATGGCCGCCTGGAAGATCAGCCAGACCGCGTTCCACCCGGACATCTGATGGTCCTGCGCCTTGGTCGCGATGTCCTGGATCGTCACCTCGGCGATCTCGCGACACCGCTCGATCGCCAGCCGCTCCTCGGAGCGGAGCACAATGTACGGAACCCGCCGCATCGCATAGCTGAGGAGGGTCGGCCGGTACAGGAGCATGCGCTGGTTGTAGTACCGCCACTTCATCACCGTCCGCGTGAACGCGATGGCTTCGGAGCACGGCTCGTGGTCTTTGAGGATATAGGGAAGGTTCTCGTACCATTCCAGCAGCTGGCTGTCCAGCTGCGTCATCTCATGGAACTTGGTCAGCGGCGACGCCGCCAGCACTTCTTGGATCTGAGTGGCGATCTTGCAGAAGCGCACGTTCTCCAGGAGGGGTAGAATATCCAGCACATTTCCCTTGCAACTGTCAGTATTTATCCTGCATATCTTTGGAATAGGACAAACCGTACCTTTTCGCGATAATGTGGCAGCTTGACAGTGATGGTCGGCCCCAGACGGCCCATGCTGGGTCGCCCGAGGGTCATCCCCCCCCACGTATCCAGACAAAACAACGACCACCACACGCGGCGCTTCTGGTCAGTGGACGATTGTCTTTGTCGGCTCCCCCCAGTTTGGCTGTCGGAGAGCTCTTTGTGGAGGCCCAGTGCCGCTGCCATCCGCAAGGCGGCTCCCATGATCGCATATGCTAGGTTGGGCTGGCTCGTGTAATGCAGATAATAGCCCCCCATGAGACCCAGGGTCTGGATGGTCTCCAACTGCGAAGAGCCCAAACACTCCAGATTGACGAGCTCCTTACACTTCAGAAAGTAAGTCTGATGCGACGTGTCGTGCGCCGGACAGGCTGCTATGCTGCCCAGGGCAAGGACAATGTTCAGCAAAGCCAGCCACTGTTCATCGCTCCGCCTCCCACTGTGGTAGGTTTCGCGGAAGGCTGGTTCATCCAACAATGGCACAAAGGGTTGAACGTAAGTAAAGTATGCGTCCAGCAATTGGGATTCCGACGCTCGTCGGGACTCGGGCGTCGCGAGGCGCGGCTGGAACCCATGGACCGGCCAGTGCTGGCTGCCTGGAGAAGAAGAGAGGTCAATGGATCCTCTCCGACCACCATGGGCTGGAGTGCGTGAAAGGTGGGTGAGGGATCCAGGGTCCAACCATACGATGACCTTGAGCACCGCATGTATTGAAGACACACCTAAGTATGAGGATGGCTGCTGAGCCGACAGGGACAAGGCATTGACATCATCCGAGATGCCACTCGGAAACGCTGGGGTTCTCAGCGGGCGTAGAGGGCTGGTGTGGTCGGGGATGGTCTGGAGGGACTCGAGATTGCCATCCTCACTGGAAGCCGGGGATGTGTGGGCCTCGGCCGATGCAGAAGTGGCCGGGGAGGCTGGATGTGGCGGCTGCGTCTGCACATGCGATGGACCCTTGCCCACCAAGTCTAGTAGTTTCTCGCGTGGCAAGTTCACCAGGGTCTCCGCTGGGAATCCGGGGAACAGCTTCTCGAGCACCCCGCGGAACTCGTCCAATGTAGTCGACAGTTTCTCCACGTGTCTGCATCCGCAACTCTGCTGGTTATTTTGTGTTCTGTGGTCTTCCAGACAGGAAAGTCAAAACACACCTGCGCGACGGACGAGGGTCGGAATACTGGCACTGATCGGCCTTCTTGTACCACCTGCATGCTTCGCATGGTTTTTCGCCATCACATTTGATCTTGCGATGCCGGCAAGACGTGCAAGCCCGAAGGGTGGTGACTCGACGGCCAACGGAGGGTTGACGCTGATTGCGCCCCCGGGTCGGATTCGACAGTCCGGGGTTCTCGAAGCCTTCAAACGTGTGGAACATGGCTAGCGACGATAAGATTAGAGACTCTTGGTGGAAGACCTGGTAGACAGATAGACTGATAGACTGATAGACTGATAGACTGATAGTACGATAGTACGATCAAGGCATTCTATGGTAGCGTGGTCAGCTAGAAACAGCCATTGGCAACCGGTCGCAGGAAGACTAGCAAGTTTCGATGCAACAGATGGCAGGGATAGCCTGTTTGCTGCTAGTGATGAGTGGCAGTAGGAGGGTGTGGAAATCAGATCATCGATGGGGATGGCCCCAGTGAATTACTGCATGGAAAATAGCCTAGTTCACTTGCAGTCGCCACTGTCTTGGATTGAAAAAGGTCGGCGGGGAAAATCGACAGTAAAAGAAAAACGTGTTGCAATATATCTTCAAGGGCAGGCAAGGTGAGTCGGACCACGAGGCGTATTATTTTAGCAGCCGGAGAACAGCGATCATCAGCCCCCGAAAAAGCATCAAGCGACATTTTCCTTTTTCCACCACCTCCTTCTCCTCCTCCTCCTTCTTCTCCTCCTCCAAGAACCGACGACGCCCTCCCTCCACCACAGTGCCTGCCCAACACAGTCCCTGAAAAGCGATCGTCCTTCGGGATTTCTTTTCTTCACTGGTCCGGCTCTGGCGACGCCCCCGCAATTTTCCACTTTGATTAAATCCATCATGCAGGAAGTGGCCGTTTCTGTCAGGCTTCTGCATGTCTGGGGAAGAATCGGCATCCCATGCATCGTGGGTTCTGACTGGCTACTCCAGTCATAAACCCCGGACCCTTCGTCCACCGGCCATGCTTGACCCTATATCAAAGGCTCGGCTGCCAGGGTTACATACGAACAATATGTATTCAATCCCACTACAGGCTCGCCAACTCTCGCCCCAAAGGGTCTGTTCTTCACAGTGCCTTGGATCTGCCTCCTGTTAGCGCTTTCCCCTCTCTACGATGCACTCTGCTCGATGTTGAGCCATGTGCTTCCACCTATCAGGGGGTGATGGATGAGCCCCCGAGTTCCTTCCGTGAGAAGTCCTTCCAGTTCCGAAAGGAAAACACATCAACTCGAAGGTGGGTTGCTGGGGTCCTTCTCCAGGTCACCTGAGGAACAGCCCTGTGTGCGCAAACATCGCGGGCTCTACCACCGCTACCACAGTAAGCGTTCGACGCACGAATTCGCCCACGTTCTTGGGGGCACCCGCATCTACCCACGTCAGGGCTGACAGTCCTTCCACGGTACTCAACCCCGAGCCGGACAAACAATCATTACTCGCCTAGCGGGCAGCCAACCCCGTTACAGTTCTGCAGGCTGATGAAGACCGGAGCACATCAATATATTAAACCAACAGGGGTGGCGCCACTCGATGTCCGAGCAACAACCACAAATAGGCAGAAAGACCAACTGCGTCTGACTGCGATTTCCATCGGAAGTGGTTGGTGTATACCCGATTCAACAGCCTCCGTTCATCCGTGCTGCTCGAGCTTACTGCTCCTGAGTCCATTGTCAGAATCTGACGGGGTTTTTTCCTGTCGCGACGGCGCAGGCGATAATAGCAGGGTTCAAGAAATTTCTCATTCCAGCACCTTCGCAGGGTCTGACTCTTTGGGAAATCTGTCCCCGCCAATTGCAGCTCTGACCCCGCATAGGATGACCGGCTTGGACACCCTATTTTAATTAAACCCCATGACGGGGTCGGAGTCTGTTGGCGCACCGCCGCTTAGAGTCCGTCGCCTATGTCCAATCCCGTAAGTCAACTGGTCCGTGGGCTCCCGGCTCCATCTTAGAGCTTTGCATTCATGAGTGGCAAAAGCAGTGATAGACTTTGGTCCCAGTTCAGAGCATTTCCTGGCCCATCTGGTTGCTCCAAGCGAGTTTGATGCCCGTTGATAGAATAAGCGGCTTCACACCACTTAGGACGCTTCTGGACAGAGGTGCGTGTGATTTGACACGGATTCTGGGGTACTCGAGGGCGACAGCCAATCGCAAAATAGACTCGACGCAGAGTGGCCCGCATTGGTTAGGCAAAAGTGATCAGGCTAATTGCGATGAACGCCAAGAGCGCGAAATTGCTCACTCATCACATGCCGCATCGAATGGTTAGCGCTCCAAGGAGGAACCTGTCTCCATTTCCTGTAAGGTACCCCGGCATGACTGTGGAAGCAACGGGAGGCGGGAAGGGCGGAAGCACAGTGAGAACCGAGGCACTTGCCCCGGCTGTTGAGTGTTGAGAGTGTTGACACCCCATGGTCCTGCAATTAGCTGCTGGAAATGTCGTTCGTTTCGCTAAGCGACAATGGTCGGACTAGTGACTGGCGTACCAACCAATGAGATTCTGGCAGAGAGAATCGCTTATTTGGCAATGGGGTGAGGGTACAAGTTCGCTTCGAATCCAGGTTTAAGGTGGTCGAGAGTGATTCAGCACCGATCAGAGGATTTACGTTCAGTTTAACTAGTGATCTTCAGGGCTGTCAGGAACAAGAATCTCCAAGCACAAGGAAGGATTTGATCAGACGGGAGACCAACCACAGCTGCGTGGAGCATCATCCGCATCTAAAGCAGTAAAGTAGGGGGGAGGAATGTCGAGGATTGGTTTCAGTGAGAGGAGCATGGTTCGAGATACAGAGAATAGTCACTTTATATGCCTCCCAAGACGGGAGGGATTTCTTGTCGGTCGTGTCTTTGCACTGACTCGGACAGCGCTCAGGATATTCTTTGTCTGATCACTTCATTGTCCCATCACTTGGCTCATTTGAGACATTTTGACGATGAGCCGTGTTGAAACTCAAAGACTGACGGGTGATGGTGAGACAGTTCAGGATGTTGAGTGCGAAAGTGTAGGACTTGGGGACTCCCGAGTCACAGGTGGCAGCACTCACTGAGTGGAAGAGGAAGACTGTTTGGGAAAGGAGGAGAAGCCGCCCGTCGATTGCCCGATTAGGCAATGACAGCACGTGGAATGCGGAGATATCTCCGTGGAGCTCTCCCCTTGCTCTATACTTCCCTCATGGCATCTGAAACCATTAGATATCAGATTCAAGATACAAAGAGTGTGAATCTCCCCTTCGTTGCCAGAAAGCATTCACAGGGCCATCGATCGATTCCCACTTGTTGAGCTTTCACGCATTGTTGCCATTGACTCGTCATTACCCCTCCTTGGCTTCCAATATGGCGAGTTTCATTCAGCATCCTCTGACCACCGGATGGTTCTTCAAGGATAGCGACGAACAGGCATCTGATGCTTGGATGTCCGTTTCTAGCGTGCCGTCTGTCGTTCATCAGGACTTACAGGCAAATGGAAGGTGTGCCACCATCGGCCTTTGAACTCTTGGCATGGTATTAACGCGGAGCACATAGATTGCAAGACCCTTACATTGGCTTCAATGAGCTCGAGGCAAGATGGGTCAATGAGAAGTCATGGTCTTACAGAAATGTATTTCAGAAGCCGACCGTCCCTGCTGGATCCAGGGTCGTTCTGGCGTTCGACGGCTTGGATACTTTTGCTACGGTGAGACTGGACGATAAGATCATTCTCGAGAGCAACAACATGTTCCTAGCTCATCGCGTTGACGTCACCGAAGCCCTGGAGGTCGAGGGTGATCATGTGCTTCTCATCGACTTTGATTGTGCCATGCTGCGAGCCAAGGAGCTCCGAGAGCAGGACCCCAAGCACAACTGGGCTTCCTTCAACGGCGATCCGGCCCGACTAGCCGTTCGTAAGGCTCAGTATCACTGGGGCTGGGACTGGGGCCCAGTGCTGATGACTGCGGGCATCTGGCGAGACGTTCGGCTGGAAGTATACTCGGCAAGAATCGCGGACCTCTGGACGGACGTAGATCTTGCTGCGAATCATCGGCATGCGCAGGTTGATGCCTACGCCGAGATTGATGCCACAGATAACTCTTCCTTCCGAGCCATCTTCACCTTGAGTAAAGATGGTAAGGAGATTGCTCGGCAGGTCACCACTCCCGACAACAAGGTCGCCAAAGTGACATTCGAAATCGATCAACCAAGCCTCTGGTGGCCAAATGGTTACGGAGACCCAAATCTGTACGAGGTCTCCGTTTTCTTGGAGAAGGATCAGATTGAACTGCATCATGTCTCGAAAAAGATTGGCATAAGAACGGCAGAGGTCGTTCAGCGGCCAGACAAGCACGGCAAGTCGTTCTTCTTCCGAATCAACGGAGTCGACGTCTTTTGTGGTGGCTCGTGCTGGATCCCCGCAGACAACCTCTTGCCCAGCATTACCCGTGAGCGCTATCGGAGCTGGATTGAACTTATGGTCACTGGTCGCCAAGTTATGATTCGGTAGGTTGGCCCATGCGGATACATTTCAGTTTTGCTTACAGCAACAGGGTTTGGGGCGGCGGTATCTACGAAGACAACAATTTCTATGAAGCATGCGACGAACTTGGTGTGCTTGTATGGCAGGACTTCATGTTCGGCTGTGGCAACTACCCGACCTGGCCCGAGCTGCTTGAGTCGATCGAAAAAGAAGCCGCCTATAATGTGCGCCGGCTGCGACATCATCCGTCTATTGTGCTTTATGCTGGAAATAACGAGGACTACCAAGTACAAGAGTCGGCAGGTCTGACCTATGACTTCGAGGACAAGAACCCTGAGAATTGGCTGAAGACGGACTTTCCAGCTCGGTACATATACGAGAAACTGCTTCCAGAGGTGATGGATAAACACTCTCCACGGACATTCTACCATCCCGGAAGCCCATGGGGAGATGGCAAGAAAACGTCCGATCCGACAGTAGGCGACATGCATCAGTGGAATGGTAATGCCCGTTTCCCGCACATGTAGCATTAATTGCTGACCAACTGCAGTCTGGCATGGAACGCAAGAAAAGTACCAGATCTTCGATACCCTCGGCGGACGATTCAACAGTGAGTTCGGCATGGAGGCATTCCCTCACCTATCTACCATCAACCACTTCGTCGAGCACGAGAAAGACAAGTACCCGCAGTCGCACGTCCTCGACTTCCACAACAAAGCTGACGGACATGAGCGGCGTATTGCTACATACCTGGTGGAAAACCTGAAGACAGCTACAGACTTGGAGGTGAGATCCCACGGCCACACAAGGTAGCCCGCGCTAATGAGACAGACCTACACCTATCTCACGCAAGTTGTCCAAGCTGAGACCATGATGTTCGGGTACCGAGGGTGGCGTCGGCAGTGGGGCGATGAGAGACACTGCGGCGGTGCTCTGCTCTGGCAACTCAACGATTGCTGGCCGACTATCTCATGGGCTATTGTGGACTACTTCCTGCGACCCAAGCCAGCATTCTACGCTGTGGCACGCGTATTGGCTCCGTTGGCTGTGGGCGTCCGACGCGAACATCATGATTGGAGCGTTACGCATGCCCAGCCTCCGAAGACGAGCAAGTTTGAGCTCTGGGTTGTTAGCTCTGCTCAAGAGGAAAGGACAGGAACGGTGGAACTCAGATTCCTCTCCATCAACGATGGTCAGGAGGTTAGGGAAAAGGTGGTCCACGAGAACATCACTATCCAGCCGAATGGCACCACTAATCTTATCGTGGACGGTTTGATTGATTATAAGGAGTATCCCGAGCCACACGTGCTGGCTGCCCGCTTGTGGGTCGACGGGCAGATTGTCGCAAGGGATGTGGACTGGCCTCAGCCGTTCAAGTACCTCGATTTCTCGGAACGGGGGCTTGTGGTGGAGAAGATCTCTGAGACAGCTGAGAAGCAGACGTTGAAGATCAGCGCGCAGAAGCCGGTGAAATGCTTGGTGTTTGAAGAGCGGGATGGGGTCAAGATCAGCGACAGCGCGATGGACATTATACCCGGTGATGATCAGACTGTCACGGTCCGGGGGTTGAAGGGGGGTGACTCGCTGAAGTACAAGTATCTTGATCACTGATGATGATTGTGCAAGAGATTTTTGACTGTATGTAGTCAGGAAGTCACTATGGTGCGATGATGATATCGTATGTTTGGTTGAACTTCATCAGCTTGAAACCTAGTCAGCTTGAATCGATCATCCTACTCTGCCTTTGACAACTGCCTCTAGATGGGGGCTCCTTTGCTTCCCCTCCCTACCTCAGTAGAATAACTCAAAAAGATACATGACCATCTATCATCCAGTGATTTCTCTCCAAGCCAAGCTCTGTTCAGTATCCAAATGTTCCTATCGTTCACTGTAGCGATAGCGATCTTATCAGATAAGCCGAATCACCCCAAAGCAGCAAGGCCCCACACCGCAGAGATGACATCGACGGCGAGCGCGTTGCATCCCCTCCTTCTCCATCTCCCCTCCCTCCCTCTCCTTTACAACCCCTCCAACCCCTCCAACTCCCATGGCCGGCACAAAACGCACCTGGGACGGCCAACCCCTCGAACCCGCAACCATGACCTCCGCCGCTCCAGCCCCCGCCTCCATCCAAAGCATGTTCGAAACCTTCCGCAACGAACTAGACGAACACCACGACCGACGCGAGCGCCTAATCAAAACCAGCCGCGACATCACAGCTCTCAGCAAGAAGATGTACTCCCTCCTCCCTCTCCCAGCCCTTCCCTCAAATCTCCCTCTCAACTAAAACCAACACAAACTAACACTAAACCCGAACGACAGAATCTTCTCCCTCCAACGGTACCTTACCTTCCCCCTCAATCCCAATCCCGATCCCCACGACCCAGACCCTAACCCACCCAGAATCCGGCACCCGGCCTCCCCCCTCCCCCCGGCCATCGCAACCGAAACCACCCACCGCTTCACGCAGATCACGCGCCTCTTCGAATCCACCCTCCCCGACCTCGCCACCCTGCACCGCCACCGCTACCAGCGCCAACTCAGCGGCGCGATCCAGGAGTTCATCGAAGCGCTCTCCTTCCGCCACTACCTGACCACCCAGACCCTCATCACCATGCCGGAAGTGCGGGCTCACCTGCCGGACGGCATCCCGCTCACGGAGGAGGATTACCTGATGGGGCTTTTCGATCTCACGGGGGAGGTGATGCGGTTTGCGGTGACGGGGTTGTCGACGGCCACGATTGACGAGCATCATACTACCGAAAAGGGGGAGGGGGAGGGGGAGGGGGACAGGGACGGCAAGAAAATCCACCTCCGCCCCGAGCAAACCGCCATCGTCGTGGATCTCCGGGCGATGCGGTCGGCCATCGAGCTCCTGAGTATCCCGCGACGGCATGCCGGGGCCATGTTCCGGGATATCGGCCGCAAGACCGAGGTGATGCAGGGGTCTGTGGAGAAGGTGGAGCGCGCGGCGTATGGGATCCTGGTGCGCGGGAGTGAGCGGCCTAAGGGGTGGAGGCCGGATTTCGGGGGGGATTCTTATTTGCTTGATTGATTGAGGGGGTATTTGTCTTTGGTGTATGATACATGATGCTTGGGTGATGGTGGTGGTGTAGTATTAGACCTATGGGCGGAGTTACTGGGACACAACAAAAGGAGTATTGTGTAGTGTAGGGGTATGAACAGAACAATACGAAGCGTAAATTGATCTTAATAATAGCACTAGCACTACCTGCTGCTGCTGCTGCTGCTGCTGCAGTACAGCCTCGCCCGCAACAAACCTCCACACGAGCGAAATACAAACTAAACTCAACAAACGCCATCCAGCCCTCCAGCATCAATCATATCATACCACATCCGCACCACACCCCCGCCTAAACAGTCGGGAACCGCGGATCCTCATCCTCCGTCAGGATCCCCTGCGAGATCAGCTCATCCGGCGCCGGCCGCACCCCGATCTTCTGGTCCAGATGATCGGCCAGCATGTGCTTCTCCAGCTCCCGGGCGTTGGCTTGCAGGGCGGGGGCGGCGGTCGACGAGGGGAGGATGTTGCCTTCCCGACACACACACACACATCAGCATATCATCCCACGTTCGAGTATATATATTGCACCACGCTACAGGGCTGTTGGGTAGAGGGTGGGACTCACGCTCCACGAGTTCCTCGCGGTCGGGTCGGTGCTCGAGGTGCTTCTTCAGGTCGTCGGCCGTGCGGTGGCGGGCGAGGTCCTGGTGGGCGGCTTGGAGGGATCTATTTGATACGGAGTGTTAGGGCGGGAGGGCAATGCGGGGATGTTTGTTGCCTCTTTGGTGGGTGCCACGTACGGAGCCACATTGGTGTCGAGGAGGATGTGTCGTTCTTTCAGGTCCTGGACGTCCGGGCGATGCTGGAGGTGTTTCTCGAGCGAATCACGGCGCTCGGTGGGGGATGCGGAGAGAGGGGTCTGGTCGATGGCGCTGGCGCTGGTGTCCATGGTGGAGGTGACGTATGTTCTCCGATGGTATAGATGGGAATGGTTAGAACTAAGTAAGTGCTGTTTTGTTGCAGTGCTTCAAAGAAATTGGTGGAGTAGTCGGGTGCAAGAACTAAGGGACCTCCCGAGGTATAAATAAGTTTAGTTAGCCCCTTCCACCAGCTCAAACAAGTCAAAGGATCACCAGCAGCTACGTAGATTGTTGTTGTCAGGGCGATTGATGGGGTGGTACTGGTGGTCAGGTCAAGTGATGGGACTGATGGCCCAGTGGCAGGCCGATCCACGGGACCCCAGCCTAGCCCAGCCCAGCCAACTGGTGGCGCACGATGTCATATGTGGAGAGAGATCGCTATGCTCCCTACTCCTTCAAGCCCCCCATGATACAACATGATACGATGTGATACGATGTCACAATAAATAACTCATATTGTCTGGCAAGCTACCTTGATAAATATTCCGAGTATTTTTGGCCTGCTCTTCTTCCCTCCCCCATCCCACCACCACCAACACAAACCCCTCCACCAGCCCAAAATATGCCCACAAAATCGATCGTAAAGCGAAGAACAACTGCTGTATCTGTTTTCGTAATTGCAGAGTAGAACATGTCGAAAAGCTAGCTTCCTCCGGACTTAATCCTTTTTGCTCCGGGCTTCCTACCAGCAAAGTCCTAGGAGGGAAAATGAAAGCAAACGCCTCCTCCCACTAAAGCAAAAGTGATGGACCCAGACAGCTACGAGCCTCAACAGAATCTTGAGACGTTCGTCAGAGGAAGTCGGACCAACATGCAGCCCGGTTCCCCGACAGCTCCCTTACCACCTGAGCGGTCATCGTTGTAGGCTCTCTCGAGACTAAGCGCTTAGATCTCGTCTACCAGTCCGGATGCCATGCCACCTGTCCAGGACCCATTCGCCTCATCCATGAAGTCAAGTCGAAATCGACAGAGGTCGAACTGAAAGGCAGCCCGGCTAAGGCAGAGGACTCAATTTTGTTGCTTCAAGTAACAACCGCGTCGGTCTTCATCGGTATTGGAAAACGTGCGATTCGTCCGTCGTATGATTGACGAACCGGCCCATACGATCAAGGAACCCAGAGTTTTCCACGGCCCCGGCTGTTACCACTACCACGAGTCGGGCCTCGGGAGGCGCCTCGGCGGTTGTTGGCATGGTTCCGAGACGCACCCGCGATGCCCCGTGCGGCTCCCGACTGAGTGCTAAGGTCGACCGTGGGCGGCTGCTTGGTGGGACCAAGAGAACGACTAAACGAATTCGGATCGATAGGTTGAGTAGGGATCTCCATAGTCGCCTCGACAGGCGGCGCAACACTTTTGACGACAGGCGCCTTGCGGCTGTTGACCCCACGAGAGCCGCCGCCGCGCGACGCTCCCTTGCCCCGACCGCCGCGAGGAACGAAGACGAGCTCGTCTTCGTCGCTCTCATCCTCGTAGGAAAGAAGCGATTTCGGTTCGCTGGGCGTCGCCTGAGTCTTCTCAACATATTTGCATCGGTTTTTGTACTCTCGCTCTTCGTATTGAATCGATGTTCGCAGCTGATGAATGTTCTTGACCCCAATGCCGAATTTCTGGGCCCAAAGCTGGGTCTGTGGATCGTTCGTAATCAGAATACAAGTCTTGGCGGCGTTCGAAGCATCGGGCCCCTGGTGCAGTCGCCACAGCAGCGCGCTGAGCAGCGGCCTGAGCACAGGCGGGACCGTGGGGATGGCCGACCCAGACGCAGAACGGCGATGTCCCTCGGCGCGCTTCGTCTTGTTGTCCTTGGATCCTCCTTCGTTGGTTATCACCTGCGAGTTTGCACATTCGGGGCTGGTCCGAGAGCTCCGGGAAGACGGGCGGGAGGGTGCACTGTGGGTTCCGTTGGACGTGTTCGAGACTGCGTCGAGTTCCTTTTTGAAGTTCAACTTGCTGAGTAGCATCTGAGAGAGATCGTCCGGGGAGGCGCCGTTCTTTTTGGATATTTTGCTCTTTTCGTCGGGGTGCGCCGTCGGGCCGTTTGAGACGAGTCCATCGTTCGCCTCCGGATCCTCCTCGAACTCGGGCAGGAAGAACTTCTCTGCCTCCGTCCAGTTCTCGTACTGCTCCATGGGACCCTGCAAAGCCACCCGTTCGGAAGAAATGTTGTCCTTGCCGGAAGTGACCCGGTCGAGGAACCGGACAGCCTCGCGGGCATTGATGGCGACCTGCGACCCGGCTCTCTTCAGTGCATGGAGGCGTTCAAGGGCTGAGGAGGAGCACTAGATCAGTAACCGTCAAGGTAAATGAACTCCGCTCGACTTACTGTACAGAGGCACGATCAGAGTGATGGCCCCGTTGGTCGTCCATTTTTTGATTTCGCTGATGTTGGTGGTTAACGCCGTCTCATCCACGGCGCAGTGGAAGACCTTGCGTCCGGTCGTCATAATTGCCCTCCGGCGATCGACAGAACAGGTCGCGTTGCTTAAAAATGAAGATACTCGCACGACACAACGGCCCTATACCAAATAGCTAGCTTTGACGACTGCGACCGAGCCGCAGGCGTGGTTAGCGTGATGCTGGATCCAGCGAGGGAGGTTTGATTAGGATTAATGGAGGCGGAGGAATATGGGAATGTGGGGGCCCTGGCTCGCAGCCAGAGAGAGAGTAGTGGACGTCCCGGGGGGTGTGACCCCGACTTCGCAGAGCGTTGAAAGGGCTGACAGTTTCACTTACAATGCAATCCTAATTCACAAAGAACGGTCATCTGCAGCATTTTGCGATTCGATAAACGATTGTGTGAGGAAATAATGAGGCAATGAGATGAGTGAGAAGGAGGAGGGAGAGGAGAGGACCTTCAGCAACGGATCAACTCCAAGCCGCGGGATTCGTCGGCATCCTGACTAAGCGCAGGACAACTCCGCGCCGCCCGTGACTATCAGTTTGTTGTCTACGAGAATTGGGTAGTATTTATGCAATTTGACCTCAGTCTTACGACAAGCTCACTGGGAGTTGACTAGTAAGAGTAGCTCACTGGGAGTTGACTAGTAAGAGTCACTCACTAAGCTCTGACTCCCCGTAATTGAAATCAGTCATGGCCACCATTACACACAAGTCTTCTATTCGGGACATTTCATCCTTTGCGTACAGTTTATGACTCGAATTGGAGTAATCTCCTGGTATGTGCTGTCGCTCGAACAAGCTGGAACAATTGAGAGAAAGAAAAAACCACCATCTCAAACCAATAATAATACCTCAGACTCTGGATAATAAGCACCGGGCTGGGCCATCGTCAGTCGCATTGTCTAGACCGTCTTCTTAATCAGACCTTCTTCGGGCTTAACACGTTGTGCCCATTCACTATCGCCGGGGTCAGCAAATAAGCCATTGAAGAGAGAAGAAAGGGTTCCAAAACTCACGTCCAGCTCCCATCGTAAACCCTCCGAAGGTTTGGCTCGCCGTATTCCGCCTCAGCCAATGCCGTCTCGATGATAGTCGCCGTTACACCGGTGCCGCACGAGCTGATAATCGACTTACTCGTGTCGATGTCCTTGCTCTCGAAAATCTTGCGCAGCTCGGGCCCGGGCAGGAATGTCTTGGTTTCGGGGTCCAGCAACTCCTGGAACGGAAGGCTCTTAGAGCCCGGGATGTGCCCTGAAGACAAGCCCGGGCGCGGTTCAGGGTCGGTGCCCGCCCAGCGGCCATAGGACCGTGCATCAAGGATCTCCACTTCTTTCGCACCTTCCTTTCTGTGCTCCTTGGCGATCTCCTTCAGCTCCCGGTACGGGATCACGAGCTTGGAGTCGTACGTGGGGACAGGGTAGTTGGTCTTCTCAGGCTGCTGGGGCTCTCCGGTCTCCGTGGGGAAACCCTCGGCAAGCCACACTTTGTAGTTGTTCAGAACATGGACCCGCGGGTGTCCGAAGACTCGAAGGGTCCAACCAACACGAGGCGCGCTGAAGATACCGACCTCCGCGGAGTCGTAGACCACCACTTCGTCGTCCCGGCGAATACCCAGCTTGCTCATGGCTTCGGCGAATGTTTCGGCGGTGGGAAGCATGTGCGGGTATGGAGATTCATGATCTTTGACAGCATCGAGGTCGAAGAAACGAGCTCCGGGGATGCGGTGGTTGCGGAAAATGTCGATACCTTTGCGACCCTCGGGGTCGTTTGGCATGAACCAGGCGGCGCATAGAGGGACTACACGTGGGGCGGTTGAGATCTTTGTAGCTGGGTTCTTTTTCAAAGCAGTGTCCAACTCTTTAGGAGTTACCAGATATGAAGCGAAAGAGTAGGGGCGACTCTGGAGTTGCTGGCGCGCTTGTTGTGAGAACGACATGGTAGAACGGACCAGGCGAGTCGGTGAAGGGATAGAGTTACGAAGGGTTGCGAAAGCCATATTGAGAGAAGTAAGGAAGGAAGTGGAGGCAAGAGGGTATTTACATGCCGGTTAGGACTCAGGAAGTGGGATTATTCATCCACCAGCTAGAGCAGGGGAAATGATAAACGAGATGAAGAGGGGTTGATGATGAGTGTGTGTGCGGAGTAGTGGAGGAGGAGGAGGAGGAGGAATGAATGAATGGAATGAGAATGAGTTAGTTGACTTCCTTTCCTATCACCGATGCGGAGAGCGGCCGACCATGTGAAAATCAACCGGGTAAACAATCCCGCTTACCTAGTATCGATTCCACTCTCCTTCCTACTCCTAGTTTCGCGTCTGCGTCCTCACTTTCGGTCTGGTGTCCAGCCCAAGTACAAGCTCAAGCCCAAATTAATCATGAAGGTCACTATCAAAGAGTGGAACGCCGTCGCGACCTGGCGCTGGGACATGCCCGACGATGAGGTCTGTGGTATCTGCCGCGTCCAGTTCGATGGTACCTGTCCGACCTGCAAGTTTCCCGGCGACGATTGCTCTTTACGTGAGATCTCTTCTTCCTGCCCGTTATCGGAGACACTTCTAACTTCACTGATGCGGGACTCCAGTGCTTGGGAAATGCGGCCATTCCTTTCATATGGTGCGATTGCGGATCCCAATGTCCTCATGGCGCAAGCGAGACACTACTGACCGAACCCAGCACTGTTTGATGACATGGATCCAGCAAGAGTCCTCCAAGGGGCTCTGTCCCATGTGCCGACAGAGTAAGTCACTATCATGGCATCACTTTCTGAATATGCACTTAGGCTTTACGTGCAGAATTCGAATGGAAACAAAATGACGAAGAACAACAACAAGAACAACAACAATAGCTGATGAAGGACCATCTGCTGTTCATTCGAAGAAGGCGTTGACAGGCTCAGCTACTACGATACCCATTCCATTCTACCTGGTTTCATTAGGTACTCATTGTTATATGCAATTCTGCATCTCCTCATTCATGTACATATACCCCATCCTAGCAATCATCCCAACCTCGAAGCAGCGCCGAGTATTGACAATCGGCGAACGGATCACCTGACCGGTCTTATCCTGCCTTATCGAAAGAGCGCAACCCAGCCAATCGTTCGATCGCAGCCAATTTCCCCAGATCAGATCGATACTCAGGTCGGGTCACTTCAATACGACCCTGAGCTATCCCGAGTCACCCTCGAACACACCACAACCATGATGTAGCCTCACCCTTCCTACCTTCCTTCCTCCCTCACCCTAATTCCATCTCCCACCAAAAATGTCTCTACCAAAACACACCACCCCGTCCCCCCTCTCCTCCTCCCCATCCAAACAATCCATCCGCCGCATCTCAGCCAACCACAACCACAACCACCTCCCGACCTCCCGACCCCAAAGCATCATCGACCGACCGCCAACCGCGCAACAACACCACCTCGAAAACATCCCCGACCCATCGCCACCACCACCACCACCACCAGCAGCCACGATCCCCCCGGCCCCCCTCACCGACCAACCCACACTCCCACCAACGTCAACGTCCGCCTTCCAACCCTTCTTCACCCTCATCGAAGACGCCAACACCTCCGAATACCACCACCCAACCGTCCACTATATCTTCGCCGACGACGACACCGACATCGTCACCGAAGCCACCCTCCGCGCGCTGGAGAGCGAATCCGATCCGACCCTCGCCTACAATCCCAATACCCGAAAGGGCCACAACAACAACAAGACCCGATCGCGTCGACCGCAGCAGCAACAACAACAACAACAAGAAGAAGAAGGGGCACAAAACACCTACGAAGATGAAGAGAAAGGACCCTCCCTACTACCGGATTCCATTCCAGGGGTGCGCGAGCACTACGTGATTCTCGACGTGGACTATGCGTCACCCGGTGGTTTGGGGACGGAGGAGATGAAAGAGCAATCCGGGAATACTACTGCTGCTACTGCTGGCGGGGAGGTACTAGCGTCGTCGTCGTCGCCGCCGCCGCCGCCGCAGCAGGAGCCGCATCACGGTGCCTCAAGGGGTGGTGACGCTAAGTCGATGGTGGTGACTTCGGCGCATAGTCTGTCGCCGGCGTGGCAGGTGCTCGATACGCAGCTGGGGCCGGCGCCGACGTTCGAGAATAATACGAATAATACGCAGTCGCAGGGGCAGGGGCAGGGACATTCGGCGAACGGGGCACTGATGTTGAAGATCCGGGGCACCGCGGGGTTGCCGATCAATAACCTGCTGGGCAAGGAGAGGGATAAGGAGCGGGGCTGTCAGCGGTTGGAGGAGATGATGGATCAGTTCGCGAAGCGGTTGGCGGAGCTGCGGTTGGTGATTGAGGCGGGCGGGCTGGGGGAGCACATCGAGGATGCGGAGGTGGAGTCTTCCCCGGGGGGGAAGATGGATGAACATGGCGTGGAGCAGGGACAGCATGAGGATGGGCAGGGTTTGGTTGAGGACGCTACCGCTGGGCAAGAGATGGGACTATAGGGGTCTGGCCGATGGAACATCCTGGCACTAAGATACCTTTTGGGTTGGAAAGCATATCTGCTCGGCGAGAGGCATTTTAGTGTATGGCGTCACTGTCTAGCTATAGGTAGGCTTCAACCCATCTACTCGGGTTTAACACTACGAATTTGGAATCATGCAACTTCGAAGTCCATGACTGTAGGATTCTATCACGTCAAACCCGGGTATCTTCTCATCCCGCGGGAACCCTATACGAGAACAAAACGCCAGGCATCGCAGAGCCCGCAACTAACAATGCTCCAAACGCGAACAGACAAATGCAAAATAAAAACAAGTGAATACCGTCTCCAGATTTATCTTAGCCAAGACCAGGGGTATCTCAAAATGCCTGCCGCAAGGTACAAGCGAGCAGTGTGCTTCCGCACAGCGAAAAAAAACAAAACGTGATAAGATCAAGGGGAAGGCCGATTTCGAAGTCTTCTGCCACTCGGGGTTTCCACCGGTGGTACATTCTCTGGGCCCTCCATGATTCCAGCCATCTTCCGGTTAAGTAATTTCTGAGGTAGTTTGGCGTCAGCGGTCGTGGTGCTTGAACAACGTCTCTTGGGAGGTGGCTGCTCTGCACTATCACAGTCCGCATCAACCGTCACGATAGAGGACTTGCGCGTGGCCTTGTCATCGGCCGCACTAGCTACGAGGCCCTTGGCGGCGACGTTTGCATCGACTTCCCTAAGGCCGCTGTTGGAAGGTGTGACAGTGGCCTTGGGTGGTAGAGATCCTACCTCGTCCTCGGTGTCGTGAAAAACGAATCCTTTCGCCGGTGTGGTGGCAGGGGAGCTATCAAGCACCGAAATTCGGTCTTCGCCACTGAATGGAAGAGCCGTAAACTCCCTAGAGGTCCTCAACCTTGATTTGATGTTCTCATGTGCCTCAGTCCGAGGCAGGTCGGCAGGATACTCGTAGTGACGCTTCTTGGGGGTGATGCCAGTCGCAACGTACTCCGCGAATGCTCGGCGTTGAATGTGTTCGCGAAGCTCCAAGAGCGACTTCCTCACATCGTCTGACAACGGCATGGCAGACTCGTGTAGATTTGTCTGCTGCTGGATGGCCCCTTCCTGCAGCTCCTGAAGACGACTGCCCAAGTCCGACAATTGCATGTGGACTGAGTCATATGACTCGTGCACGTTGGAGGACATGTTCTGGAGGCTTGAAAGATGGGCGTCTCGGTAAACACCATTCTGAGAGCGTGCCTTGGCTACGAAATCATCCAAAGCTTCCATCTGTTTACTCATATTCTTCATCTGAGCATCAACGATTCGAACGGTTTCTTCATGCACCGCCTCGGTTGTCTTGTGAATAGATGCGTTGCGTTGTTCGAAACTCTGCAAGGTGATTAGTATTGATATTTTTGGAGAGGAATGACGCGAGTTGAAACTTACCTCCCAGTCACTCTGCATCTTCGATTTCATCTCGTCCTTAGTGGCAATCACATCCTTAGCAAATTGCTCCGACTTGAAAACCCATTCATCAACCTGGCGATCATAATGGGCGGTCGCATGCTCCAAGGAGTCACCCGAAGCAGAGAGCTCAGTACGCATCGTGTCGATCCTGCCCTTGAGACGGCTACACTGCCTTTGGCGGGAGTCTTCGATGAGAGACTTCACTTGAGAAAGCAGGAGATCACGCTCAGCCTCTGCATTTGCATTCTCCTCTTCCAGAGTCTGTGCCAAATGCGACGAGACTTTGCGATTCGCCTCGACAGCTTTCTGATTGGCTTCCTGAAGTTCCAATCTCAGCTTGTTGATCTCCATTCTTTGCCCGTTCAATTGAGCCACCATTTCCTCAAATACAGATTTGAGGTCCTTTCCAAGGGTGCTGTAAGATGAATGAAGCTGGGCATTGAAATCCGCGAATTCGCCAATCACCTCCTTGGAAATGCGAGCAGCAGCGGCAGACAGACCATTGAGGCCTTCACCGACTTTACCCTTGACCTCTTCACGCAGGTCTTTAATCTCTTCAAGTACTTCGTTCATCTCGTCATGGGCAGCGCATGTCTGTGAATGGGCCTCCCGCTCGGCTTTGTCAAAAAGGTCGTTGGTCTCTAGCAGCTGCGATTTGTTCAACTCGATGTTCTCAATCTCAGTTGTGACGAACTCGTTGATTTTGTTCGACATGGCCTCCACCAGCTCGGAGTGCTGCATCTGGAAATCCTCGATTCTGGAATCGACCACCTGGGTCACGTCCGAAACCTCGGCCGCAGACACCTGCCAGGCTTCCTTGTTGGCGGAGTCCAGATTGGTCTTCCTTTCGATTTTCGCGTGAAGTCCATTGATGTCCGCCACAGTGGTATCCAAGGTGGAAAGCAGACCAGCCCCAATGTCGCGAAGGTGAGCCTCTGTATCCTCGTGCGCCTTGCGGAGAATCTCTTCCTCTTCAAGTTGCGACTTGGTATCCTTAAGAACAATCTCAGTTTGTTCAAGGACATCGTTCGTTTTCTTCAGTGCATTCCGCGTCTCTTCATTGTTCTTCTTGAGGTCATTGAAATTGCTCGTAAGAGAAAAAAGCTCCTGGACCTTGTGGCGCAGGCTGGACTCCATAGACTCAATCTTGGCGCGTTGTTCCTCGTTAACAATCCTGCGAGACTCGCTCTCCATGGTCATCTCTTCGTATGCATCAACACTCATGTACACGCCGTTCCGGTGTCTCGTGGCAATAAGCTCGCCCTTTAGCTTTTCGATCTCAGTTGTGAATTCTCGCAAGAGGGTCTTTTTCGGCATGGTGGAGTTGATCTGGGGTTTGTTGCGAATGTTCTTGGCCCGAAATGCATAGTCCAAAGTGGAAATCGTCTCTTCCAGGTTGCTGCGCGACGGCGAGATGGTCGCAATAATACATGTCTTGGTTCTTCCACCAAGTGAGTCTTGCAAGAGACGGGTGAGTTTCGACTCTCTATAGGGGATGTGTGGGCTTTTGTCGACCAGGGCATTGATGACCCGGCCCAAAGTGAGCAGACTCTTGTTGATAAGACCAGCTTCTGCCGCACGCTTGTTCTCCGCCCCACTGCGCTGGATGTTCTCGCTACCAGCCAGATCGACCAAGTTTAACTTTCCAGAGCTAATATACTCTTCGCCAGACTCCGTTGTCCGTTTCGTCATCACGGTGATGGTGAACACCGTGTGACTCCGGGAACTCAGATCGTTGCATTTGGTGGCGGCGACTTGACGCTTGTGGCTTCCTTCCTGGAGAAGTTTGATGCCGGTGGACGCAGAGTCGATGAACGTTTCCTCCATTCCCTGTACAAGCGTACTTCCACTGTGGCCTTTCCTTGACTCATTTTCGAAGATCTTCAGTCTGGGGTTCTCTTCGGCCGAAAGCAGGTCGCGGAGCTCTTCGTTGTACAGCTCGATGAAAGAACACTTGACAGTGCTTTCTGTGTCCTGCAGCTTGTGGAATAATGAATACAACACACGAGGTATAATACCGGCATTGTCGGATAGTATGCCCAGCGTGTCGGTCATGTCGCCGGACATGGTGTAAGTCTTTCCGGTTCCGGTCTGTCCGTACGCGAAAATGGTGCAGTTGTAGCCAGCGAGCATCTCGTTGACAATCGGAATCACAACATCCTCGTAGACGGTGATTTGGTCCGCAGCCGCTGAGAAGACCTTGTCGAAGGTGTAGGTCTTGTTGGCCAATGCATTTGGGCCCATCGACAATTGCACGGTTTGTCCTTTGGCGCCTTCCGTGGACACTACAACTCCACTGTTTTCCTTGAGTTCTCGGTCGTTCCGGCCTCTGCACCGGACGACGACATGGATGCTCGTATCTTCGTTGATCTCGCGCTCGAAGTCTCGTTCTTTGCGTTTCGCGGTAATGCTAGCAGGTTCGACTGCTGATTTCGTGGCACGCGATGCACTAGATAAGGGCGCCTTGGATGCGATCGCTGGGGATGCCGCTCTGTCCGTGGTTGACATCGTAGACCCGAGTCTTCTTGTGGTCGGGCGCGTCGCTGTCGCTGTTCGTCTGGTCGGCAGCCCTGAGGCAGGCCGTGGGGGGCCAGCCATGATGATTTAGACGATGTAATCCAAGGTGATACAGCCGTGATCTATGAAAGTAGTCGCGCCTCAAGCTAAATCTGCAGAATCGCTTGGAAAGATGCGCACCAACATAGGCGGTGGTCGGCGAATTTGGTTCAGGAGGTGCTGTCAGTCAGTTGGTTATGGTTAGTGATCCGCTGTTATTGATTTCCCGTCTCAAAGCGGAAAATGTAAACAAAGCGGGTTCACCGCCCACGTGCCAGCGGGATTGCTCGTCATGCCCCCATCTCACATGATAGCATGCGCTCATCGCCCGCTCCATGCTCCTCCTGACAGCTGAGTCCTTATAATTGTTCCTCTCGTGGAATAATTCTGTTTCTGCATTATTACTCGGCTTATCCTGACACGTAATCTGTTTAGCTGCGGCTTGAAATTTCAGTGGTTGTGCTCCGGTGCAGCTGGCACCTTCTAACACCTTCAAAGATACATATACTAATCCGATCCGCCCCTCACTCACCGTCTCCGCCTCAGCATGCAGTTGGTCCATATGCCATCATGACTTCTTCCTCTTCTTCCAGGCCTTCACCACAAGCTCAGATCTACCCTGGAAAAGGGCTGGGTTTCATAAGCATGTCAACCCCTTATCTTTGATTCAAACAACACTAACCTGCGTCTGTATAGCTCTGGGAGCCTCCCTCCACAATGTGCTCAGCCGCGTCAAGTCCCATCCCCAGACGTACCCCGCAATAGATATCGCATATTCGTCGTCGGAACCTCTCCGGAAACCCGTAACGCTACAACTTCCATCCAGCGGTCTCCGCCTGCGGTTCGATGGGCCAGATCAGAGGTTGCGGTTGATCGAAGTGCTTGACTTCTCGAAGA